AAACGAACGTAGTGTGTGTGTGTGTGTGTGTGTGTGTGTGTGTGTGTGTGTGTCGGGGGATGGGGGCCCTGCTGTAATTCCGTGGCAATGTCACCCCTTGTTGCACATAGCCGCACTGGGGCCTGCAGGGCAGAGACCATCGGATTCCCCCATAAACCCTGCTCAGCTGGGATTCCTGTTATAAAATCCACTCTCCCCCGAGGTAGAAGGGGAACATTCGCTCTCCTCCCGGCCATTACTCTCTCAGATTCCCTGGACAGTGGCTAGATTTTCATTGGTTCCAAAGGGCTGTAGATCAGCCCCATCACCACCTCTGATTTCACACGGCTTTGGTTGGTGTGGCCTTAAGAAAGACATACCCGGTGAGAGCAGATCCACAACTGGAATCAGTGATCAGAGCTCCACTGGATTCAATACAGATACCTCTATGTACAGCAGCTGATGATCTTGACCTTTTATTCAAACAGTTAAACACTCTAGTAAACACATGGGAGCTATTTGTGCAATGGCAATTAGGTGCCTAACTCCCTTATGCTCCTTTGAAAATCCGAGTCTTTCATAAGAAGAGGCTCCATCTAGACAGTTAGGAATTGCTAAGAGCCCCTTTACCAGGGGTGCTGGGACAATGTGTATAGTGGGGGTGCTGAGATCCATTGAACCAAACGGTAACCCTGGATATGGTGGAAACCGCTTCAAGCCAGGGGTTGCGGCAGCCACACACACCCACACCTGCACCCCTAGCTGCAGCACCTCTCCCGTCCACAGTAGTATCTGCTCCCCGGGAGAGAATGAAAGGCACTGGGCTGGGAGTTCTGAACCCCCAGAGCCACTCGCACCTCATAGAGACACCAAAAGTACCAACATCTCCCCGCCCCTCTACACCGTAACACACACTCCCCCTTCACCCCCAGGGCAATGACTCTCCTGAGCGCTCTCAGGGGGTGGATCCCGTATTTACCCTGTGGCAGACCCTCCTGCCAGCGATATGCAAAGCGGAGACCTCTCACGTCCTATTTAAACCCCCCGCAGACTTTCCGCACTCACAAAGTCCCGGATCTCTGTCTCAGGGACTCCAGTTCGGATCAGACCCACCTGAGCTCGGCTTCCGAACCGCTCCATGGCTGTGTTGCCCCTGGTACAGCTGGTCCTTGCACTGGCCGCGCTCTCCTGTGAGTTGGGTTTGGGTTCGCTCTTTCCCCCCATTGCCCATTATTCTGTCTAATATTATTAATTTAATGTCCACTTTCCCGTTTTATTTTCCCCCTGCCAGGTGCCCGCTCGCAGGTGGTTCTGACCCAGTCGGGGACAGCAGTGAAAAAGCCCGGAGAGTCCCATCAGCTGCAATGTGCAGTGAGTGGGGTTAGCAGTATGGGCAACATGCATTGGATCCGGCAGGCCCCTGGGAAGGGGCTGGAGTGGCTGATTTACTATTATTCTCCGTCTGACAACAGCTACTCCCCGGCAATCCAGGGGCGATTCACAGCCTCCAAGGACAGCTCCAATTTCTATTTGCAAATGACCAGCCTGAAACCCGAGGACACCGCCGTGTATTACTGTGCGAGAGACACAGCCAGGGGAAACCTATTATGCTCCATACAAAAACCATCCGCCTGAAGGCCCATGGATTGTATTGATCGGGAGGGGGCAGCCCTTACACAGAGAACTAAGGGGAAACAGCACAAGGAGCTCATGTGCAGATAGCTACCAGGGTGGAAACTGAACTGGCGAGTGAGGGGAAAAGCAATTCCTAGAGAATCAGGGGAATGTACTAAATACAGCTGCAGAAATGCTGGCATGAGGCGGTGTTAGAGTCTGTTCACTAGCCATGCAATGGCACTTCCTTCACCATGACCCGAAAATATCAGAAAGGTTTCCCGTCCACAGTGTCCCCTCAACCTCCCCAGAGCCTACCAATGTTCATCAAACCTCCCCCCATCGGATTCGGCCTTGTGTCCCATTCCCCGATTCCCGCAACACTATCCCTGGTTTGAGGTGCGGAGCGGCTGGTGTTTAATAAATGCATCTTTAACGGCTGTCACCCCAGCTCCCCTCCTTTAGTGCAGAGCCCCCGCCGCCCCCCGACGAGCCGAGGGTTGCCGTGCCCCATGCTAACCCCAGGGCTCCGTTACGATCTATCCGTATGCAGTCTGTCCCACTCAGCCTGTGATATGCAAAGCTGGGAGCCACTTCCAGACTAGGTACTCACTGTGACTCCGCAGGGACCCAACCCCCAGATCCGGCTGAGTCCCCCCAACTCTTCCCAACCGGATACTCCCTTCGCCCCACTGCAGGGGGTCTCTAGCCCACATCGCCCTCCTCCTTGCCGGACTGTCTTCTGCTTGTGGTTTGTACCTGGTCTCCTTTTAATGGATGGGGGATGTGTTTGTTGTGGCCGGTTCCCTCTTCTCACCCTTCCCACAGGGGCCAGGTCGCAGGTTGTTCTCACCCAGCCAGGTCCCGACAGGCAGCAGCCCGGACAATCCACCCCGCCGGGACCGGGTTTAATCCCAAGGGCTGGTGGGTCCCACAGGAACCCGGGAAGGGGGTTGGGGTGGCTCCTGAGCTACCACAAACCTTCAGTTACAGCCTGCTCCTCCCGCACCCTCCAGCGGAGATTCACACCCTCCAAGGACAGCCCCAGCGTCTAACTACACATGGCCGGGGAGCGACCAGAGGCACCGCCCTGTATTGCTGTGTGAGGACAGAGGCACAGCAGTGAGCCATAAACCCAAGCCATAAACCCAGCCCTTCTCCCATTCATGCGTGCGGGCAGCAGTGACACACACACGGGGCAGGGTAAAAACACATCTGACACCAGCTCCGAACTCCACAGGTCCAGGGAAACTTTCCCTGTAGATGGACAAAGCCCCGAGCTGCTGCACAATCCCACTTTTCTCACACACCCCACTGGTCTCACTGCGATGAATGGGGACGCGGGAGGGAGCCAAGACATTGGCATTTGGCCCCTGAGCCACGTGTCTGAACCTGCCAGGGAACATTTCCCTCTGGCCCTTGCACATCTCACTGGAGCTGGTCCCTGGACGGGGAGTTCAGTGCCGGTGTCAGCAGGTGCCGCAGCCCAATGGAGCCCCGTGAACTGACCTCTTCCCACTCACTGACCCCACAAGCACCTGTCACACAGCCCCACTGCACATGGGCAAGGGATTCCAGAGCTGAGATTCACCGCATCCAATTAATACTTTTACTCCCTTACGAGCCAGCTCCATTTCTCTCTTTGTTTCTTTTAGAACAAACAATTTCCTCATTGTGTGGCAACACTCTACGGGGATCTCTCAGTCTCCCACCACCGAGCAAAGTGATTGAAATCGGGCCCTAAGCGTCAGTCACGGGAATCGAGCCCTTTCAAGGCATCTGCTTGTTTTTTCCATGTCTAAAGTGTAGTGAGCATCCCAGCGCGCTGTGCCCGGCACTGCACACACGCACAGGCTGCGATAGTCTGACAGCCTCCCTCTGAGCCCTAATGCAAGGAACAAATCACATCAGAGTTTGTGTCCCTTATAAGCAGCGTGATATGCAAATGAGAGTGAGTTTCCTGTTTAAATCTGTCCCTCTCCCTGCCCAGGCTGCACCCGGAGAGACAATCCGCAGCCCCCTGGGTCTGTGCAGTGACCAGCCAGTCCCCTGAGAACTTTCCCCTCTGGCACCAGGGACAATGAGACTTTGGCTCCATTTGGTTCTCATTGTAGCGGCTCTGGAAGGTATTTTCTAACCTAAATGCACTGGAGAGGCAGACAAATAGTGTATGTTTGATATTTTGATACTAATATTTCTATCGAATCTTTATTCCCAGGTGTCCGGTCCCAGGTGCAGCTGGTGGAGTCCGGAGGGGATGTGAAAAAGCCCGGAGACTCTCTCCGCCTCTCCTGCAAAGCCTCCGGGTTCACCTTCAGCGGCTACACTATGTACTGGGTCCGACAGGCTCCCGGGAAGGGACTGGAGTGGGTGTCACGTATTTACGATGACGGGAGTGCTGTGTACTACGCCGACACAGTGAAAGGGCGATTCACCATCTCCAGGGACAATCCCAAGAACCTGCTGTATCTGCAAATGAGCAATTTGAAGCCTGAGGACACCGGCCGCTATTACTGTGCGAGAGACACACAGTGAAGAGAAACTACGAGTGGCTAATACAAAAACCCGATCTGCAGAATCCCCCTTCTCCCATGCGCCGCATGGGGGCAGCTGTTCCACACAGGACATAGGCACTGGGGATAGCTATGAGAAGAGACCTCTCCCTTCCCCCAGGGGAATAAGAATCTGCTATCCTATTTTAACCCTATAATTGCCTGGCAATGTCACCCACTGCAGCTCGAAATCCCGAGGGGCCTGCGGTGCAGGGGTCACTCGGCTCCTGAATAAACCCGTTTTCCGATTTTCAAAACAGCCGCCTCACTTTAATCACCCAACTCCCATCTGCAAATCACAGTCCAGACTCTCAGCTGGTGTCAACGGGCGGAGCCAGGGATCCAGCCCATAATATATTTCCATAATAGAATATAGTAACCATGGAGCTACCAGTGTTGAGCCAGTCGCGTGACTGAGGGTCTAGATCGGAGCCCAGCAGGGTCTTTGGAGGCTCTCAGGTGGAAGCAGAGGCCCCACTGGTGGTGGGTCAGGGGCAGGCGATCAGAGCGTAGGGCTGGGGGCACTGCCCGGCCTCTGCTGGTCTCCTCTCGGGCTGAGGAACCGTAACCGGGACATGCAGGGACGGGGGGATATTCTACACAGGAACAGTTTTAAACCCAGGCTTTCAAAAACAACGTAACACATATCTAGGGCAGATGTCTGGCTGGTAGCAGAAAACCGGGAGCTCTCGATTTTTTTTTTCTGGGAAACAGATAGCAACAAACACCTTGAAATTTTGGGAGGGAGGAACATTCCCTGCAGACAAACCCTGGAGTAACCCAGAGGCGCTCCCTCATGGCAAGGGTGGCAGTCGTGTCCAGCAGCGGGATGCCAGTTGGGGGCGGGGTGTAGACCGAGCCTGCGCTATTCAAGGCTTTAGAAGGAAGTAGCTGAGGCAGATCCAGAGGGTGAGGGTTCCTCAAACCCTGCCCGGACTAAAATCCCGTTTAATTCTTATTTTTCCAGTAAAGGAGCCTTCTCTCTGATCTACCCCCCCCCCCCCGACCCCTGAACAAAGGTTCAGATGATCCAGGCAAGCAGTTTGTGTGTTATAAAGAGGGGCACATGCAACTGAGGGTGAGTTTCCTGGTTAAATCTGTCTCCCTCTCTGCCCAGGCTGTACCCGGAGAGACAATCCGCAGCCCCTGGGTCTGTGCTGTTACCCCCCTGAGAACTCTCCCCTCACCCCAACACCAGGGAAATGAGCCTTTGGTGCCATAGAAAACCACAGGCACCTGAACCCCTGGACAGATCGGCACCTAAGAATGGGATTCACAAAACACAGCGTAGTAGGCAGGGAACCGTCGAAGCTAGTCAATGGGAAATTCAGAGGAGAAGTGTGCCCTAAACTCTCTCCCTCTCACAGAGACAGTCTGGGCTGCGCTGCCGTTATCTCTGCTGGCTCTTCAGGAACGCGAACCCCGCTCTGGAATCAGGCACCGTAGCTGCCTCAGGCCTTTCTTGTGAGAACGGCACCGAGCACCGCACAAAACGGTCAGGAAAAGCCGGGTTAGGCACACAGGCAGGGTTCGGTTCTTGGTCAGATTTGAAGTAAAACATGGAGACTTTTATCTTCTCTCAGGAATAGCGGATGAGGAACCTAGGGTAAATTATAAAGGCTCTTGTCATTTTATCCGGCATAAGTAACATATTTTCACTGTTTGAAAATCCATTAACTTCTGTGGAGTGACCAGTGTTTTACAGCTGATGGCGGGGGAGCAGAAAGCACCAATACAGAGCAGAGCCCTGCCTGCCTCACTCCAACTGCTCCTCTCCTTGCAATTCACGAGGGCACTCCGGAGAGTGAAGCGAACCGCGATTGTCCCGTGTGTTTAAAGCTACCGGGAAATATTTCCCACTAGACACAGAACAGGTCAGTGGAGCCACCACTTCTGGGAAAGGGGCTGGGCCCGGGTCCAGCTACTCCCCAGCGCCCCGGGGCGTCATTCTGTCTCCAGGGGTGTCCCAGCCCAATGGAACCCTGTGACCCGACCCCTCTCCTAGCACTGACCCCACTGACCCGCCGTACCACAGCCCCACTACGCCTGCGCGGGGGCTCCAGGGCTGAGTCTCCCACCCCTCTACAAACTGACAGCAATCGGGCCCTGAAGTTGTGTCCTCCCCTTTCCCACCCATCCCACTATGGCTGCCCCTCGAGGAGTGGTAGAGTAATTCCTGAGATATTTAGTTGGTTTTTTATCATTTCATTGCAGCTCAGGCCTCACCTTTTACTAAAACCACCACGAAAACAAGGAAGAGGAGCTGACAGGGAATGTAGGTAGAAGAGGTGAGAATCTATAGCAGGCTAAATAAACCCCAACTATAACAATGCAGCTACGGGCTGTATTTGCCAATGAACAGCCTCAGATCCGAGCACCCCGCTCCGTATTTCTGTGCCAGATATGGACACCGCTGGACGGTGATCCAACCTATTATAAATAGACAGAAAGAGATTTCTGCTACACCTGGATAATGGCCTTTCCACCATCTTCCCGGTGCTCCGGTACATTATCCCTTGGGGCTCAGTTAAACGAGAGGGTTTTATTTACAGAAGTGGTTTTAAAGGGAACTACAAGAGTTAGGCCATTAATTCGCACTGATGCTGGCACTCAATGTTTGCTGAGCACCCGACTCCCTAGGTGCCTTTGAAAATCGCACCATGAGCGAAGGGCCAGAAGTGTGAACGTGGCACTTATACACTGCTTTTAAAATGCATAACGCAGTCAGAGATTGTTTGGGGGTGGGGGTGAAAACTGCAGACAAGCTAAAAACTTTGTCTCTGATTTTTTTTATAAAGGAGCCTAAGAGAGTTAGGTGCCAACATCCTTGGGGCTGTCAGTGGGAGTTAGAAACCTAACGCCATTATCCTCCATTGAAGATACAGGCCTACAGCTCTACTTCCGACCCCGCCTTAAAAGATAGGAGAAGTGTTTCACATGTATCTGATTCCAATAATCACAAGTAATTTAATTTGCTTCTCTCCTGCCAAGTAGCCAAAAATTCTTGTCTCTCAGGGCCTGATCCAGAGCCACTAAGGCCAGTTTGTTGGGATCCTGGAGATGGGCGGGCAGAGCCTGCCCACTGCTAAAGGACCTCCCCCAGCCTAAGAGGAGGAGCCACAAGGTCCGGGATCTCAATTAAGTCGGGGGGCAACTAAGGATATAACAGGGATGGAAGTGAGGTCACAGGGCTAAACGCAGGGAACCAGACAGGGACACCAAGCAGAGAACCCCAGACAGCACCCACTGCTCCTCCAAGGCAGTTCAAACCCTAGCAGTTGTCTGGGAATTGGAGGTCATCGACATCCTGTCATTATTTTGACACTGCAACGGAAGTAGAAACATGATACACTGTGCGGTGGACGCTGCATATACCCAGCGCAAGGGACAGTCTGACTCCTCCCTTCTATCTGAACTCCAGTGCAGGTAATTCACATTATAAATGGAAGGGGCTTGTGTCTTTTATAAGGAGCGGGATATGCAAATGGGGGTGACACTTTCCTGTTTAAATTTGTCCCTCCCTCTGCCCAGGCTGCACCCGGAGAGACAATTCAGAGCCGTGTAATTGTGCAGTTACCAACCAATCCCCACCGTGAGAAATTCCACTTTAATCACCGGGGGAAATGGCACCTTGGATTCACTTACTTTTGCAGTAGCATCTTTGAAAGATTGTTTGGTGCGCTCAGTAATTTTGTGAAACAGGTGAATATATTATATTGTCACTCTTTTTATACTAACATCTATAACGTGCCTTTATTCCCAGGTGCCCTGACTCAGATCCAGCAGGTGGAGTCCGGAGGGTGTGTGAAAAAGCCCGGAGACTCTCTCCGCCTCTCCTGCGAAGCCTCCGGGTTCACATTCGCAGACTATTGTATCCGCTGGATCCGTCAGGCGCCTGGGAAGGGTCTAGAACGGGAGGCTGCTCTTAGCTCTGGAAGCAAATTGAGCTAATGGTGTTCTAAGGCTGTCGAAGGGCGATTCACCATCTCCAGAGACAACTCCGTCAACACGGCATATTTACAAATGATCGGCCTGAAGCCCGAGGACACCGCCCGGTATCACCGTGCCAGAGACACAGTGAGGGGAAGCCGGGCTGAGCTCAGACAAAAGCCTCCCCCTGCAGAGACTGGGGAAGGGATTTCTGGGGGGTGGCGCTCACGCTCCACAGCAGTGAAAAGAGATGCGAAGTATCTTCCCTTATGGACACCGCACTGAGCTGTAATAGGAGAGAGAAGCTCCTCTGGTTCCATCTCTCCCCGGGTAGCACAGTGACAGTGAGCAAATGCCCAGGGTGGATTTCAGTGGAGCAGGAAGAAAGAACAGGTGCATCCGCCCTCGCGCTATGAATGCGCCCAGTGACCCACCAGAGGTTTCTGATCAGATACTCCGCAGTTTATGGATCCCTCCTTCTCCCACTGCCGCAGCACAGAGAACATGAGCCAGTCCATCAAAAGAACCAAAGACATGTTACTAAGGGGGTTAAGTAAAGTCACTGTGGCCGGACACAGGAGACAGGTGGAATGGGATTTCTGACCCACCAAGGAACCAGAACCGCAGACTGTAAAGTGGATCGGGGTTCCCTTGTGGGTTGGAAAGGACCGGAAACATCACAGAAATGCTGAGTTATTCAGCCGCTACTCCTGGCTTCCACAGTGAGGTTTGCACCATGGAGTCTGTCTGAAGCAGAATAATAAATCCAGGCTAAGATCGCTGTATAGAGTCAGACGAGCTTCAAAATGTATGTGTCAGTTCAGATGACAGAGTAGAGATTGTGGGGCCAATTTGAAGTTATTTCACCAAGCGACTCCCGAGATAAACCCCTGCCCCGCTCCTCTGAATGACCCATCTCTAACTTCCTCTGAGAGAGAGAGAGAGCGAGCGAGCAAAACCTAACCTAGTCCATTTCCCTAGTGTATCTGTCACTGCAATCACAGCCCTTGTTCTGACGCAGCCCAGATAATACTAGATAATCTAGACAATACT